AGAACTGGGGTATAGGCCAGAGGTTCAGGGGCAGCGAGAAGCTTCACCAGAGACAGAGTGGGGAGCAGAACAGGCAGTTCTAAGAAGTACACTGCTGAGGGGAGCAGCGGGCGGGTCAGGAGAGGTCTGCCACACCATCTGGTCACCTCCGGGGCAGGCGAAATCGAACTCATGTGGAAGTGGCTTTAGCTTCTTAGTGCTGTGCTTTAATCCGCTGTGCCACCAGGGAGGGCCTTACTTATATTTTTATTTCTATCTTACATGTGTTTATGAATACCATGTTTTAGTGGCCTAATAGACTAACTTAGTCCATTCCCATGTTATATGCTTTCCAATTTCCATATTATGTGCTTTCTGATATATTCGGATTTAAGTCTACTACTTTCCTATTTGCTCATGGTTGTATATTGTCTCTTCATTTTCTTCCTCTGTTTTGCTCCTTTTGCATAGATTAGTATTATTGTGTTATCATTTCTTTATTTTCCATTGATTACTCCTGAGATTAGACATCCTTGATTTATTAGATGTGATATAAATTAGCATCTTTATTTTCTCCTGAACAACTAAGATCCTCAGACTGTTGTACCCATATTGTGCCCTTTTTGACTCATACACTATTGTTATCTCTTTGAATTCTTCTGTAGCTTGAGGCCACAAAACATTTCATTTTTGCTTCATGCTATCAACACATTTATATTTTCTATGTACCATTATTGTTAAGTTTTTCTCTGTATTAGTGTCTGTGTATGGTCATTATATTTGTGTCTGAAAACAGCCTTTCCTTTCTTTGTTTAAATTTATTTATTTATGTGTACAAGAACTGGGGTATAGGCCAAAGGTATGGGAGGTGAGAGGACTCACCAGAGACAAAATGGGGAGCAGATCTACTGAAATATACTGCTGAGGGGAGCAGCAGGGTACACAAGGAGAGTTCTGCTGTGCCATCTGTATTAGTTCCCTGGCCGGGTGGCAATCAAAATTGTGCCCCAGTGATTGGCAATAGCTTGATAGCTCTGTGTCTTTAACCCCTGTGCCAGTAGAGAGGCCCTAGTTTATTTTCTTTACTGTGGCTTTTTCATAATAAAGTCTGAAATATGTTCATTTTCTGTGGCTCTTTCATAATAAAGTCTGAAAATATGTTCATTTTCATCCTTGAATGATATATATTTTTTAAAGCTGTGGTCAGTAAATGTGAGTGCTGCTGATCTTTTATTTACTTATTTTTTTTAAGATTTGTTTATGTATGCATACATACCTGGGCTATAGGCCAGAGGTGCCAGGGTGAGACTACTCACAAGAGACAGAGTGGGGAGCAGAACAGGCAGATTGAGAAGTATACTGCTGAGGGGAACAGCAGGTGAGGCAGGGATCAAACTTGTGCTAAAGCTGAAACTTGGTAGTGCTGCGCTTTAACCTGTCATGCCGCCAGGGAGGGCCCAATGTTTTTATAAGATTTAATATTAGGTTGCTTTCAGTTTCTTCAGCACTTATCATTCTAATAATATGAGTTTTCATTGATTTTGCTGCAAAGTTAACTGTGTGTTATCTTTCCTGATGCTGTTTTTAAGATTTTTTTTCTTTCTGCCTTAAGTTTTGTGCAGTTTTTCATTAAGTACCTATTTGGGGATTTTATTATTTTCTTTTTTGGCTTGATGTTCTTAATAGATATGAAATATAAGTCTTGATGTTTTTTAAATCACTTTTAAAAATTTCAGCCTTTATTTCTTCAAATGCTTCTCCTGTTACATTCGTTTTCTTCTACTACATAGGATTCAGATTATAGGTATCCACCCCTATGTTAAAGACAGTATTTTTTTATAATTCATAACTTTTCATTGTTTTTGACATTTGCATATTTTTTTCTAAAGCAATAAGTAATTATTTTCTTTCATATGGAAATCTTATATATTCATTACTTCCTTATCTTTAAAACTATGCCAATTTTATTTTTACTATTTTCCCATATTCATGATTATTGAAAGAGGTTAACTAAGCTACCTGAGTTCACATATCTGCCAAGCAACTAAGACTAAAATTTAAACTGATGTCCTCTTGATTAAGTATTTTTTGTTTTTTATTATGTGTTTCTATTTCCTTCTTTCAGCTTGATTTTTGGATCATAATTAGTTTTCAAAATGGTGTGTATATCAATATATTTCTTAATCTCTCTTGAAATCATTCTATCATTCTACCTATTATTTATTGGATAAGCAGAATCACAAATTTATGAACCAAATATGACCCCCTTAATGGTTTTATTTTCTACAAGCAAAAGCATTATATATACAATTTATTCAAAGAGAGGATATGAATAGAAACAAATAAGGAAGTAAGTCCCAAATCAGAAATCTGAAAAAAATCATTGCATAAACTTGATCATAGAAGAAATTTAAACGTGGGAATTTTTCTTTTACTGTATAATGTGTATATTTGTCGATACAAAGAAACTAGTTCTAGTATACCATGTGTGTTTTATCTCTTAACAAGTCTATTTGTATAATTTTGTCCATCATGGTATATCATGCACTATGATTGAGAATGTTTCCCCTTCCCAGGTTATTTCGTTTTTGGCTGCAGTTTTACATAAACAGGGAACTCGCGAGGATATTGAAAATAACATGCCAGCATTTTTATTAAGAAGTATAAAAAAGGAGTCCCCTTCTATAACAAAAAAGGTAAGAATACATAGAAATATATAACTATTGAAGGTGGTATTATACCAGCATTTAGAAACTTTTAAACATGACATATTACAGTAAAACTTTAAAATGTCGTGAATTTAAAGACATTAAAATATGTTTTATAGGGCTAAGTTTTGAAGGATTACCAATTTCATCCTTAAGTGAAATATGATTGATTTTCAGAATGACAACATATAATTTTACTTTAAACTCTCCTTAAGGTTTCAATCTTCTGCTTTTCTAGACTTACATGATTTACTTTGGTTAATTTGTTAAATTTACATATATAGGCATTTAAAGGTTGATTGATGTTTATTGTATTATCTTTCATTATGTGAGAATAAAAGGAAAATGTTGTAGATATAAAAAACAAAGTATATCATTGATATTTAAAGTTGCTTGATACATTAATTACATCTCAATGTAATTATGAGATCAATTCTTTGAAAAACATTGAAGTTAAAAAGACTAAGCTCTATGTTTCTCTCTTTCTGATGTGACTATAATAGCTCTTTATGTCCATATTCAGTTTTGCAGATGTATTTATAAATGCTTTATACACTATTCTTATAAAAATGAACATCTTAATAAAATATTGAAGTGCAAAAAATTTTCCTGTACTTCTGTGTCTGAATTTCATGTAGTCCTCACATCTAGAAAACCAGACATATTAAATAAATTGATTTTATTTAATTAATTTATTTTCTTACACTATTATTATTTTTTGGATATTAGTTCATTTCTCCCCTCAGGAGAAATGTTTCTCCTGTAGTTCTCCCATCACCATAGCACCCGTGATCCATTCCCAATGCCCCTTGTACTCTTCCTTTCCATTTTGAACCTTCTTCTACCCCAGTCCCTTACTGTATGCATCAGATCTGTATGATAGCTAGCAAGTTTTGTCTTTTTCCTAACCCTTCGTTTGGTTTCAGAATATTTCACATGTAAGTGAAACCATGTGATATTAATCTTTTTCCCTCTGATTTATTTTACTTAGCATATTCCTTTCAGCAACATCCATGTTGCACATATGGCATGAGATTATCTATTTTGATTGTTTAGTAGTATTATATCATGTATAAGTCCCACCTCTTCTTGATACATTATGTTTTGGGACAGTTATGTTGTTTCCATATCTTCACTTTTGTAATAGTGTTGCAATAAACTTAGATGTGCAGGCTTCCTTTTGGGTTAGTGTTTTTGTATCCATTAGGTAGCTTCCTAGAAGAATTGCTTGGTTGTTGATAGATCCATTTTTAGTGTTTTGAGGAATCTACACAGCTCTCCCTAGCCGCTGGCCTAGTGTGCATTCTCACTAGCAGTCTGGGAGGGTTGTTCACCAGCATTTGTCATTTCTAATTTTTACATAAATATGGGCCATTCTCACAGATGTGAAGTAGTACTGTATTGTAATTTTGATTTGCATTTCTCTGATAAGTGATGTTTTTCATATACCTGTTGACATTTGCATTTCCCCTTTGTAAAAGTGAATTTTTTACCCCTCTGACCATTTTTTGATTGTTGTTTGCTTTGTTTTTGTTGAGCATTGTAAGTTCCTTATAGATCTTTGTTATTAGTCCCAGCTCTACAAATGTTTTCTCATATTCAAAAGAGTGTCTTTTTCCTTTTGGTTGCTGTGCTGAAGCTTTTTAGCTTGGTATAGCCCCAGCTGTTCATTTTCTCCTTTGTTGTCCTTGGTTCTGGCAACAAGACCTTGAAGATGTTTCTGGAGTTTATAGCATGGGTTGTGTTGCCTATGTTTTCTCTCTGTATCTTATGATTTCAGGTCTTAAACTCACTTTTTATCCAGTTGGAGTTGATTTTGTATATGGTATGAGGTGGTAGTTTGATTCTTTTGCATGTGTCAGTCAAGTTTCCCTAGCTCCTTGTTCCAATGTGCATTCTTTGCTCCTTTGTCATACATTAGTTGACCATATATGTGTGGTTCTACTTAAAGGCTTTCAATTTGATTCTACTTGCCTGTGTATCTTTATGTTTCAGTACTATGCTTTTTTTTTTTTTTTTTTAATAGCTTTGTAGTATGGCTTGAAGTCTGGGAGTGTAATGCCTCCCTTCTTCCCCTTTTTAGCCTGGAAAGCTCTGGCTGTTTGGGTTTTTCTGTGCTTCCATGTGAATTTCAGCAATATTCTATTTCTTTGAAGAATGTCATGAGATTTTTAGTGGATTTTATTGAATCTCTATTGCTTTGGGTAGGATGGCTGTTTTGATAATGCTGACTCTCCTGTTCATGAGCAGGGAATGTCATTCCATTTCTTTGTATCTTCTATTTCTTTTAACAATGTTTTGTAATATTTTTATATTAAGGGAATGGTTTTCTTAATTTTATCTTCTTCAGGGTAATTGTTCAATTTTTGTGTATTGATTTTGTTACTTGCTACTTTGCTAAACTGGTTTATTGCCTTAATTAGTCTTTCTGTGACTTTTTTAGGGTTCTCTATGTATTGTCATATTCTGCAAAAAAAATGATGACTTGATTTCTCTCCCAATTTGGATTGCTATTATGTCTTTCTCTTTGTCTAATTGCTCTAGGTAGAATTTCCATTATTATATTGCAAAACATTGGTCAAAAGTGAACATCTGGGTCCTCCCTGGTGGTGCAGCGGGGTAAAGCACTGCATTGAGAAGCTAAAGCCACTTCCTCAGGAGTTCGATCCCCGCCTGCCCTGGAGGTGACCACATGGCGTGGCAGACCTCTCCTGACCCACCCGCTGCTCCCCTCAGCAGTGTACTTCGTGGATCTGCCTGTTCTGTTCCCCACTCTGTCTCTGGTGAATCCTCTCACCACCCCTGCACCTCTGGCCTGTACCCCAGTTCTGTATGCACAAATAAATACATCTTTAAAAAAAAAAAAAGTGAACATCTGTGTTTTGTTTCAGATCTTAATGGAAAGGCTTTCAATTTTCCACCTTTGAAAATGATATTAGATATGGGTTTGTTTATATTACTTTGTTTTTTATTATTATGTTTTTTTATTACTAAGTTTTTTGAAGGTCTTCATCACAAATGAATGTTGAACATTATCAATGCATTATCAAATGTTTTCTCAACATCAATTGATATGGCTATAAGATTTTTATTTTTCTTTTTGTTGATATGAATTATGTTAATTGCTTTTCGGATGTCTGGTAATGGTGTATTATCCTTTTGATGCATTATTGGACTCACTTTGCGAAAATTTTATTGAGGATTTTTTGTATCTGTGTTCATTAGGAAGATTGGTCTGTAGTTTTCTTTTTTGTGTTGTCTTTGGTGTTGGTGTTACTGTGATGTTGGCCTCCTAAAATGTATTTGGAAGCATTCCATCTCGGTTTTTTGAAAGGGTGTTAGCAGGATAGGAACTTGTTCATCTTTTGAATGTTTGGTAGAACTTGATTTTGAAAACACTGGGTTCTGGGCTTTTCTTTTGGGGCAGGGTTTTGATTACTGTTTTAATTGTCTTGCTTGTGATTGCCTTTATTCTATTAGTTTTTGAGGATTTTTATTCCTTTTCTAGTTTCTCAAGATGGGATGTTAGGTTGTTTCCGTGGGTTCTTTCTTGTGTTTTGATGTCAGCCTGTGTTGATATATACTTTCCTCTTAATGCCACTTTTGCTATGGCATCTATGTGCTGGAAGGATGGGTGGGTCCTCATTGTCATTTGTCTCAAGGTATTGTTTTTTTGGTTTTTTGTTTTTTTTTTTTAAAGATTTGTTTATTTATTCATACAGAACTGGAGGGTACAGGCCAGAGGTGCAGGGGCGGTGAGAGGATTCACCAGAGACAAAGCGGGGAGCAGAATTGGCATATCTGTGAAGTACACTCTGAGGAGAGCAGCGGGAGGGTCAGGAAAGGCCTATCTGCCATGTGGTCACCTCCCAGGCAGGGGGGGATCGAACTCATGCTGAAGTGGCTTTAGCTTCTTAGTGCTGTGCTTTAACCCACTGTGCCACCAAGGAGGGCCCTCACGGTATTTTTTTAATTCCTTTGATTTCCTCTTAACCCAGGTGTCTCAGTAGGGTGTTTTTTTTTTTTTTTTTTCATTCTTCTTCATTTGTATCTCTTTTCTATTTTATTCTTTCATATTGTTCTTTCATATTGTTTATTCTATTTCCTGGCTTTTTCCAGAATTTCTTACTTTCTTCATTAATCTTTTTACATCTTGCATTTCCTTTGTTTTCTTATTTAAAGTCTCAGTATCTTCTATTTGTTCATTATGTTTATCATAGTTTTTTTTTTTTTTTTTGCCTTTTCTATATCATCTCATTTATCTCTGATCTGTTTTTCTGTGTTTTGTTGGTATTGTACAAATTCTTTGAGTTTCTTAATTATGGCACTTCTGAATTTTCCATCTGACAAGAAAAATTCTTCTAACTCAGTTTTTTTGGGTTCTGGAGATTGATTTTCTTTCTGTGGTATATTGTTACCCTGAGGACTGCTTGACTTTTGTATTTTGCTTTCTCCCCAATTTTGCTTTTAGGTTTTCTCTGCTATCGATGGGGCTTCGGTTGGACATGGGTTTCTCTTCCTCTATTGTGGGTGTTTACTTGGGTGAGGTGTGGGTTTTCCAAGAGGATGGGACTGGTGAGCATGACCCCAGCACCTCCCACTTGGACATGGATCATCTGGGTGGTTGTATGGGCTGCTAGAGCACCGATTTTATGAAATTTTATATTATGGTAATGAACTGTTTTCTATACATTTTAAAGCAGTCTGTTATGTATAAATGTAATCGGTTATATTGTGTGATGTTCCAGTTCATTTGGGAAGTATTGACTTATAATAATTACTGTTACTTTCAATTCTTCTTAATATTTGTTATAGCACAAATGCATTACAAACATCAAATTCAGTTTGATCCTTGCTCTTATCTACTCCCTTCCCTTCCTTTTCCCTCTTCTCCTGAAGATTTTACATCTATGTTCAATGTAAGTATTAACCTTAATTTTCTTTTCTTAGGGTGACCTTGTCTGATTTTGGTATCTAGGTAACACTAA